AGAGAATTTCTTCCTGATATCTCATCTCAATCTCCCCTCTTTAAGATTAAAACCGTTCCCCCTTGTCCCACGGCTCCCCTCCCTGATCCAGAGACCCCCCAGCTCTCCTGGAGCCCCTTTAGGCACTGGAAGGGGCTCTGAGGTCTCCCCTTTTTCGCCTTCTCCTCTCCAGGCTGAACCCCCCCAACTCTCCCAGCCTGTCCTCCCAGCAGAGGGGCTCCAGCCCTCCCAGCATCTCCGGGGCCTCCTCTGGCCCCGCTCCAGCAGGTCCATGTCCTTCCTATGTTGGGGGCTCCAGAGCTGGATGCAGTACTCCAGGTGGGGTCTCCCCAGAGCACAGTAAAGGGGCAGAATCCCCTCCCTGTTATTATGCTGGATTAGCCTAAGTTTTTAACCCACGCGTTCACTCCTCTGTTTTTTGTGTTTCCTCTCCAACCAGCAAGGAAGAAAGAAAGTGGGACACCCTGCGAATGCCAATAGCCAGAAAAGGTGACGTAGACCAGGAATAGAACGAGAAAAAAGCTGAGGTTGTGCCATGCCTCTCTCCCACCCCCAGGCAGACCCAGGTCCATGTCTGCCCTATAAAGTCTGACCTAAAAAGGGCAGCAGAAGCGGCAACCACGGTGGTGCCGAGAACCTGGGTGGGCTGAGAGGGACCCACCACGGGCACCACCGGCCGTGGGCTGCACCACCTTCCCGCCGAGGAGCAGTCACTGACAGAGCGCAAGGACTGCACCCTCCTGTGCTCTCTCGCGGTGCAGCAAGACCTCAGGGGTGGCAAATCCCAGGCCAGGATGTCTCTGGCAACCGGTAGATGTTTTGGGTGGTGCCCTCAACCTCCATCGCTCCTGTTCGTCCTCGTCACGGGCTGGGAGGAGGCTCAGCCCTACCCAGTGCCCTGTAAATCCCCTGGAAGGGGAAAGGACCAACCCAGTCGCCACGGGTCTGTGCCGGAGCCGGTGGCAGAGATGAGTCAGGGCTCGCAGGCAGCGCAGGCAGGAACCAGCTCCCAGCTGCTGCCTGCGGCCAAGCCAAATATTTGCGCTGCTACTGGCATGTTTGCCTAAACACTGAGCTCTCCGTAAGCTTGCCCTGTCCCCAGCCAAGCAAAAAGATCTAAAATGAGCCCAGGGATTTTTTTTTTTTTTCATTGTTTGACAGGGACAGAGAAATGCAGCTGTTGAGAGCAACCGTGTGCTGCTCACCGCCCTGAGCATCCTCAGCCTCGGGCTGTGTCCCCCTCTGGGCATGGGGCACCTCTTTTCCTTAACCGAATAGCCCAGGACGTTGCAGAGCTCACCCGACCGGAGAGGGAAGGGGAAATGGGGACGTTTACCTTCCTGTGGGATCCTGCTCTTTTCTGCTTCCTCAATAAATAGGGAAAACATGTTCGTCTTCACAAACTTCTTCACAAACTTGCGGTTGGTCTTGGAGGCGATGGCTTTGCAGAAGGCTCGCTCCTGGAAGGTGCCCGAGCCGGTTTTGCTCCATTTGATGTGTGAGGAGTAGTGGCCAACCATTCGGACAAAGAACTGCACAAAGGCTTCGGAGACGAGCGCGTTCACCTGCTCGGATGCTGGAAGAGGACACGGAGCACAAGAGGTGGGGATGGGACCTCTGAGCGTAGAAAAGACGCACCGATTTTAACCTGGTGGGTTCGCAGTCTCCGTTTGCATCCCGAGAAATTATTTGCTTAAAACCTCCCTCTGCCAGTAAAAGAAGATCAGACTAATTTTGCTGAGGGAGCACCGGCAGTGTTTCTTTTCCCATCTTTCCAGGCCAAATATTTTTAAAACACAATTTTTTTCAG